ATCAACCGGCTGAAGCGATGACAACGATGAGTGCCCCTATACCCTTCGCTCAATGGGGCATCGATCTGGTGGGGCCAATGCCGCAGGGAACGAAACAAAGAAAATTCCTAATAGTGGCGGTCGATTATTTCACGAAATGGATGGAGGCCGAGCCCTTGGCGAAGATCACAGAAGAGAAAGTAATTAAATTCGTATATAACAACATTTGCTGCCGTTTTGGTGTACCCAAGGTGTTGATTTCCGACAACGGCACCCAATTCAATGGTAAGCGGATTCGAGCGTGGTGTGAAGATATGAGAATCGAACAGCATTTCGCCTCTGTAGCTCATCCGCAAGCCAACGACCAGGTCGAGGTAACCAATCGGATCATATTGAATAGGCTGAAAACAAAGTTGGAGAAGGCCTCGGAAGCGTGGGTCGATGAGTTGAACTCTGTGTTGTGGGCGTATCGCACGACCCCTCGGTCGACCACCGGAGAAACCCCGTTCAGCTTAGCTTACGGAATGGAGGCATTACTGCCAATTGAGATCGAGATGCTATCCCAGAGGTCGAGCGCATACAATACAGAACAGAATGAAGACTTGATGATGGCGGCTTTGGACACTATCGAGGAACTGCGAGGGAAGGCAGCAATCAGGGTGGAGGCGTATAAGTAGAGGATGCGCGCGGCTCACGACAAGAAAGTGAAAATTCGCAGACTTCAGGTTGGCGATCTAGTTTGGAAACGTGTCGATGTACTCAAGCACGTGGGAAAGCTGGAGCCGAACTGGGAAGGACCATACCTGGTCGAGCGAGTGCACGCAGGAGGAGCGTACTCGCTTAAGGATGCTGAAGGCCGGTCACTTGCTAGGTCATGGAACATAGCTAATCTGAAAAAATATTATGTTTGAAAGTTTTTTTTTATATACATATTATTATTACCTCTGTACGATGTCTGGGATATTTGAACAAGAATGTAAATCGCAAAATTTATCAAGAGGCAATGAAGTTCAGTGATCTTTCTGATTTTATCTATTTTATCGCACATCTTCTTATGCTGGGAATGTTGCTACAATTGAATGGCAGGATGTATGTGGTATGGTTTGATCTAGAGGTCAAGTGTGAAGACCAAAACCCACCATGAATAAGGCCCTCGGGCTGGGTGGTCGCTT